TAGAGGAAAAAAAAAAAACAAAAAAAAAAAAAAAAAAAAAAAAAAAAGGGAAAAAAAATGATTAAAGGAGATGGAGGGACTGATTTTGGAGGGAAAAGAAATCAGCAGAGCTATTTATAACGCTGCCTGCGCCAGCGTGTGTAGGAGCAGGCGGTTTTTAAAGCTCCTGGAGAGCTGAGCTGCAGGGCCGGGACGAACCGTGACTGCCCCCAGGGAGGCTGCAGGGTCGGGATGGGGTGGAAACCCGGAGCAATGGGGCAAATCCACCCAGGCAGGGGAACGGATCGTGCGTGGGATGGGTCCCCCTGCAGCACCTTGGCCAAGGTGCAGGTAAATGCATCCCTGCATGCGACACGCATGCAAGATGTGCTGGGGGCTTTGGGGCAGCACAGCCTGCAACTGCCCTGACTGCTCTCGTGGGGAGCAACCCCTGCACGGGGGCATCAGATGGGGGCAAATCTTCAGTTCCCCACCCCAAAGCGGTTGCTTTTGCAGCCTGCTATGGCCGCAGAGCCCCTTTCCCAGCGACCGCAGCCTCTGCATGCGGCTCCTCGGCCGGGACAGTGGGAAAAAAACCCTTTTCCTAAAGCAAAAGCATCTGTGGGGAAGTGCTGGGAACGCCGGGGGGACCTGACGCCGCCTCTCCGCTTGCCTTGCAGGACGTCGCACTCGCGGGCCAAGGCGGACGCGGCGGTGGCCGCGGCGCAGAAGGCGCAGGAGGAAGCGCGCATCGCCAGGATCACTGCCAAAGAGTTCTCGCCTTCCTTCCAGCACAGGGAAAACGGTCAGTGGGAGATGATCCCGTCCCCGCGCGTGCCTTTCCGTGCAGCCCCAAAGGTGACGGGGAGCCCCTGCTGGGGGCTGCCAGGGGCACGAGGGGTCCAGGCACCGCTGCAATGACTAACATAGCAATTAATATATGTGAATGGCTTTATTCAATAGTTCCCCTGCACCCAACCCTCGTTAGAAGGCGTCTCTCATTATTTCCCCCCCTCTTCCAGCTCTTTAACCGAAGATTACTCACTTGCCTTGATTGCTCCGGGAGCTGGTGACTCATTCCCACGCTGGGTCCCGCGGGCAGGGGACGGAGGAGCCGCCCGGGCAGGAGGTGTCGCTGGGCCGGGGGCACCAGCCTCGGAGCTGCAGACCTGGTGCTGGGCCCAGGAGCTGCAAACCCGGGCCCTGCTGCAAAGCTGCTGCCCCGGGGGCCGCACGGGCCGCGCTCGCCCCGTGGGTGCGATGGGAGGATCCTCTGCAGGGCTCCAAGACCCTCCCCAGCTCCGTTTCCTCTTGCCGAAGGGCTTTGCTGCTCTCACATCACCGCTGGAAAGAGATATTTTTAGGCAATGCAGTTTTTCCTGAGCAGGGACGCGGTGTTGAGCTTGTGCTGCTGGTCTCACACCTGGGCAGCCCGTGCGCGAGCGAGGGAGGCAGCAAGGAGCTGCCCTCGGAGCACGTTAGGAAGGGAATAGCGTCTGGGATGCACTGGGAGCCTGGGATGTCCCTGCGGATGGAGTCGGGCTGCAAAACGCCCCGGGGCATCGGCGGCCGCGTCCCCCTGCTGCAGGGGCCGGGGCCTTGCGGGGGCTGCAGACCAGAGGCCACTTCACGAATCCGTCCCCATCACGCGGGTGTTTTGCACCTGCGGGTGATTTTCAGTGCACAGAGGTGCAGGGCGCTGCTTTTCCAGGCAGCCTCGGCGCTATCCGGCTCCTCGGCGCCCGCGCGGAGCGGGAGGCCGGTGGAGGCCGCATCCCGGCGGCTCCCTGGAAGATGCGATGGAGAAAATTACTCAGCAGAAGCAGAGAGATTAGGGCAGGTGCTTCGGAGCGTTTATTTTTAAACCATGGTAAGAAAATTGAGTTCTTCCTTTCTGAGACTCATTTCTTGTCTAGCCATAGCAATTGCAATTAGACGCATTTCAGGGGCATTAGGCAGTTAATATATTTATCAAATTATTTCACGTAATTTAGCATAGCTTTAGCCGGGAACAACTATGCCTTGCGAGGGTAAAATGAGAATTAGCCACTGTTGGCTTCTACCCGCCTCAGAACGATTTGGCGGTTCCTAAAGGATTAACACGAGGGAGGCTCCGCAGGGGACGGGGACATTCCCGAGGACCGGGTCCCTCCTCAGCATCCGCTCTGGGGACAGCGGGGAAATGTGGCCAAAACTGGGTCCCTGTCTCTCCTCGCAGACCGCCCCTCCACACCTCTGCTCCTTAGGCCTTTTTGCGCTCACCTGTGGATTTGCTCGTTCTCGTCCTTGTCTCCA